TAATCCTCACACAGGGTGGGGTGGGCTGGGGGATGGACCCTTCTTCAGGTTGTTGCTATCAGTATCTTAATGGTCAAAGAAACTTCCAACAATAAGAAAAGCAGAATCCAGAACCCTAACCTATTCAGACAGAACAATCATGACCATGACACTTTCAGAGGATTCCTTAAAGGGTAGTTGTTTCCATGTCTTAGAGCAGGGATAATCAGGATGGGATTGGAATATCCTATTGTGACCAGACAGCAAGGACATTTCAAATTATGTCAGGACAAAGGAGCTGGCTAGAAAGAGCTCCCAGGGACCAAACTGAATATATCTGGTACTTCAAAAAGAAGATACTAATGATGGTTAAGTCTATGAAAGGCCAGGAGTTCCAAACGATGATCAAATAGAGAATGGAATAAAGTGTACGAAAAAGAAGGTGTAATACAAAGGGATAAAAAAAGACATGCATAATCATTTGTATTGATTTTAACAAGTTGTTAAGATACAGATTAAGACAGCGTTAAGAAGTGTTAAGATACAGGTGCTTTGTCATTTTTATATCTGTCTATAGAGAGTTTATAGTATTTACATTACAAGTGGGTCTGCCACAGCCATTTTCACAGGGCAAGCCCCAAATGTGGGCTTTTCCAGCATCATTACTGCATTGAAAACATGACTGCTGGGGCAGCAGCTACTGAAATTGCAGTAATCCTCACACAGGGTGGGGTGGGCTGGGGGATGGACCCTTCTTCAGGTTGTTGCTATCAGTATCTTAATGGTCAAAGAAACTTCCAACAATAAGAAAAGCAGAATCCAGAACCCTAACCTATTCAGACAGAACAATCATGACCATGACACTTTCAGAGGATTCCTTAAAGGGTAGTTGTTTCCATGTCTTAGAGCAGGGATAATCAGGATGGGATTGGAATATCCTATTGTGACCAGACAGCAAGGACATTTCAAATTATGTCAGGACAAAGGAGCTGGCTAGAAAGAGCTCCCAGGGACCAAACTGAATATATCTGGTACTTCAAAAAGAAGATACTAATGATGGTTAAGTCTATGAAAGGCCAGGAGTTCCAAACGATGATCAAATAGAGAATGGAATAAAGTGTAAGAAAAAGAAGGTGTAATACAAAGGGATAAAAAAAGACATGCATAATCATTTGTATTGATTTTAACAAGTTGTTAAGATACAGATTAAGACAGCGTTAAGAAGTGTTAAGATACAGGTGCTTTGTCATTTTTATATCTGTCTATAGAGAGTTTATAGTATTTACATTGCACTTGGACTCAGAAACTCTGGGTAAACCACATAGCCCTAGAAAACCAAGGAAGAGTCCCAAGAAAAGGACAGACAGAGGATAACAGGTTGTAACAAAAACTGCCAAGTGAGAGGAGGGCTGGACACTGATGGTCACACCCACAGTCAAGCAGAGGATCCAGAACGTGATCTGAGATGATAAATCAGCCACAGGAGCAAATGAGGCCCAAAGAGCATCAGTAGAGTCATTCTCTCATCTCCTAGGGGAGAAACTTCCAGAATGCCCAGCTAATTTCAAGAAAACATTCACAAGGCAGACATAAGTTCTTAATAATGTTAGCAGATCAGGCCAATAGATCATACAGGCCATACGACAGGACAACGAATCCTGTAACCCTGGCCAAGCAAGACTTAGGAAGTAAATAGTTTTGGGGTGCAGGGGGTGGGTGGGGACAGGAGCCAGACTATACATGAAAACCTGCCTGGAAACTGTATACTGAGGATTTTACAAGAGCCAATGGGTGTCACAAGTGAAGTTCAGCCTGATGCTTGGTAACCAGGGTCTGACTCCTCTGGGAGAAGATCCCAGACATGTAGGTGCCATGCTGTGGCCTACAGCTGAGTGGTCAGAAACTAGACCTGTGACCTGGGCAGATTTGAAGGGGTCTTCTTTTGTTTCTGGAGCCCATGAGATCAATCAGCTCTGGATAGGTATTAAAATATTACAGCCTTAGGGTGAGTTTGAATTAATGTATAAATAATTAAATGAGTGAAACCTGTAGTATGGATCTGTTAGACTAGGTCTAAGTGTGGAAGTTTGTAATAATGTATCTGGGCATTTCATCTGCACTGAAAGGTACTTGAAGTGTTCAAAAAAAATCAGTTCTCCTAACGTGAACTGTTTAAAGGAATTCAATTTCATAATGTTTAAACATTCAACAGTTTAGTAAACTGAGTAATGAACAAGTTGCAAAAGGTGCTCCTTTCCATGCATAAAAGGCCTCCAAACAGTTAAAAATCAGTAGTAGGAACTTGGTCAGCATGGCTTCGCTTCTTTAACTGGTTCCTTTTTATCACATGTACTTTAAAGTATTCTGGATGAAGCCACAAAAAAACCCACAAACCCCACCCCCACCAAAAATTTGTCACATATACATTTTAAGTCTAAAGACACCAAAATAGTCACAAAGAGTGCCTTTCACTTGGTGCTGAGATAGGGGGTACTTTAGCTTTTCCTTTGATATTCTTTCTGAATTTTCTGATTTTCCATAATGAACATATTTTATTTTAAGTTAAATAAGACAAAGGCAATAAACATTTCTTCAAAAAAAGCATGCAGGCACTCATCACTGAGGTGAGTCTCTATTTAGGCAAAGCCTAATGGTTTCCTCTGGGGCTGCTGTGCTAACATTCACCGGAGTCGGAGCTGGAGGACAGACAGCAAGCTGAACTGGCAAAGGGAACAGGGGACAGCGGCAAGGATACTGGGCCTGCAAAGAAGAGGTAAGGTGAGGGGCAGGCAGGAAAAGGGAAAAGCAGGTACAAACAAGAAGCAAGGGCCAGAACCCAGGAGATCTTGATGAGGTTGTTAAGCCCAAATCAAGAAGACCAGGAAGAGAGGATAAGCTTGTAGGGACAAGAGCTAACTCTGCAGATGAAGTCAGGCGCGCAGGCTGGGGCAGGAGGAAGGATCTTCCTGCCTGGTTCCTGATCAGAGCCTCTGACCTGCCTACTTCCCTTGCAGGTAATGACAAATCTGGACACCAGTAATGTTGCTGTATCTGTAGACAGGATATAAGGGCTGAAGGCATATTTGCCCATTTCCAACATCACTTCTCCTTATGCAGTGAGGGCAAACCCACTGACTTATTAAAGAGCTCTGCTACCCAGATTCCAAGTGTGTCTGACCCACCAAAGCAGGGTATCAGCCTCATTGGAACAACTACATTCTGAACTACTGCAGGAAAAAGTTTTGATAGAAAACAACTTTAGATACACTTGCAACGTCTCAGTTTCATATCAAGAAGCAGGCACAATAAGTTTAGAACAGAGAAAAGTGAAGGAGATTCTCCCAGGATATGCTGTTTATTAAGTAAATATTGCTTTTAAAGATCCCACTTAAGGTCAAATCTGGCAAGTGACAGATTCAACAGGAATCTGCTCCAGGATGAGTAACGGTGTAACTGAGAAAAACAATCCTTGAAGATATCACACCAACATTTGCATACAATTGGCAATAATAAGCAGAAGTTGCCTTTTCTTTATTTACCAAGCTGTCTAAGTCATGATTAAAACTATGGCAAACATACATTTGTAAGCCTTAATGAAAAAACACAAATTCTATTAAAAAACAGTGAACTTAGCATGCTATTTCTTCATAAGCTGCTTAACATTACACCCCAGGTGTGCATTTCAGGAAATCAGTTTAAGCTTATATAAGATGCCCCGTGAGCATGCTACAGATCTGGAGATTAGCATTATGATGCCTGGGTATGATAATGACATTAACTAATGGTAGCTGGCTTGACAGATCACAAAGACGGTGCTAACTATGGTGTTAAGTGAAAAATATTTGACAAAGAATTGGGCAACATATTTGAAAATATTCTTCAAAATAAGTGCTTTTGCACATGAAGCTTTTAGAAATCCTGATGGCATAATGATACACTAGCCACATATGAGGAGGCAAGCACAGAAGTGTTTTTTTTCCCCCAGTTGTTCTAAATTACTAGAATATAAAGAAATAATAGAAAAGGTACCTACATTTGGTCTATATATCTAGCAGCTGTCATCTTCTAAAGAAATCTCATAAGAACTGATGGGGGAGAAGTCAAATTATGTGACATAATCAAAATTCTTCTTTAGTAGGCCAGCATTAAAATGAATTATTATAGAAACCTTTTCCTTCGGAGAAGAAAAGAGCCAGGAGGAAGTTAATGTAAACCTCTAGGCAGAAGACCCTGCCAGGAAAATGACTCCTAGTGATACAAACACAAGGCAGATGTTCTAAAAGAAATTTAAAATTTAATTAGACGTGAAGTCTTCCAGCCATTACCTGTGTGCATGAAAGAAAACAGTCACAAACTGGATTTCTAGAATCATCTTTGTTACCATCTAAAAATCACATTTCTTCCAGGCCAATAAGATAAAAAGTGTTCAGTGAACTAGCAGAATCTCAACATTTAAAAAAATTTAGTTGTTAAACAATTGCTTTAAAACAATGAATGTATCTTAATTTGACTAATTTAAAGCAACTCCTATATTTTTTCTTTATCCTTAGGTACAATTCTACTGAACAAAAGGCCAAAAGAAACCAAACTGAATGGAAAGAATTGAACCAAACCGTGATTTCAAAAAGATCAAAATTATAATAACCATTAAAGTTACTTGTTTGATATATTTCAGCTGTATTTGGAAACTAGATCATAACTCAAGAATATGGTAGCCTTATTTCTATTGGTGGAGCCCTAGAAGTTTCAACTAAAATTTTCTGCTTTTTATACTCACAGGTATTCATCTCTTTTCTGGTTTTCTATTTGAAATTAGATTAAAAAATCAGAAGAATACTTTTCAAGTTTAAGGATTTGTTTTTTGTGACAGTTATTTTGATTTTGTATAAGTAACTTCAAAATAACTCAATCCAATAAAAAGGTCTTCAGATTATTCAAGTTAAGATCTTGCTTCTAGAACAGAAATTGTAGCTTTATTTAAATCTGCTTCCTAGACTTTTAGTTGTATTTTTTTTTCCCACCTCAGTGCATGAATGCAATAGATCATTCTTGGTATGTTTTTCCGGTCATAGACATCTGTTGTTTCTGGATAAAATATCTGGAAAACAAAAGAAATGATGTGTTTATTGTTTTGCTTCTGACAATTATTTTAAGTCTCCTAAATTATCATACTTTGATTGTCCTTGCTGTTCTGTATTTATTGAAAGACAGAGAAACTGTGTTTAAAGCAGGCTGTGCTCCCAGGGTGGGTAGCAGTTCGGTTTTGCTCCCCAAGGTGTGAGCCTGTGCAGGCTCTGCTTTCTGCAGCAGTTACTCCTGTGCCTGCCCAGAGGTCCCCTGCCTGAGAAGGGTGTCTTCCTTCCAGCATTTTATTACGCTGTTAAAAACCTAGCTGTGCAGTTCTGTAAGCATGTACGTACACACATACAATACACAGACTGATTTTTTTTCTGCTTGAAGTCTATTTTCATTGAATAAAATCTGGAAAGTCTATAAAGTAGGAAGGAAAAATACCTATAAGCTCACTTCCCAGATTGTTACTATTAGCATTTTGGTATATTGTCTTCCCATCTTTTTTCTGTTTGTGTCCAATTTCTGGTTTATGTATGTAAGTAAACAAAATTGTACATATTGTAAAACTATTTAAAACACTATGTCTAGAACATGCATATGATTCTTTCATATGTTTGAGTGATAATTTAACCAGTTCCTCATGGTTCAACATTTTTTTTTGTCTCCAATTTTTCTCTAGTAAAAGTCGCTATATTTCCTAAGCACCTGATTACTTCTTTTGGATACATCTAAATATGGAGTTACTAGATTGAAAAGTCTGAACATTGAGGCTTTTTCATACACATTATTTTTTAAGCTAGAAACTAAAAGCCTGATAAGAAACAGATTTTAGAATGGGGCACCAAACTTCTCTCTTCCTAAGAACCAAAAAAATGAGTAATTAAGCTTGAAACTCCTAAGATTAAGATAGGCATATTAGCATTATTTGCTTTCAGTAAAGATTTTATAAAATATGACATAAAAACTGAAATTAAATCATGTACCATATGGGAGTACTTGGTACTCAAGTGCAATTTTCTTTTGGACATCAGAAGAAGCTGAGAAAAGAAAGAAGCAAAGTTTCTTGAGCTACAAATAAACAGTCACTAAGCACTTAAAGAAATGTCTGTAGCCCAGGAAATTTCAAAGGTCTTTCCAACTTTCCTTTAACACATTTGCTATTAAAGTGTCAGAGAGAAGAATGTGTGACCAGGTATGAAGTTCTCCTGTATAAGCTGAGGATAACTACAACTGCCACTCCCTTTTCCTTACATAAGAAACCTTTATATTTATATGTTGCTTCTGGAAAAATCATTATGAATGTGTCTTCTTTTAGCAATTTATAGTTCACGAGAACATTTTATTCAGCACTGTATCCCCAGCACTGAGCATGATGCTGAGCACAAAGTAGGCATTTCATCAATATGGATAAATGAGGGCATTAATAGCAAATACATCAGTCAATTCAGTACACTATTGGTCTCCCACTCCTGCAATGTGGTAATGTATCAATGACTTCATAAAACACATCAGTGTTAAAATAGAATCTGCTATATGGATTACTTGTTTGGCTTAAAATCAAAGAAAATCTGGCCCAACATACACACAATTTGGAAAGGTTTAAATCTATCACATATAATGAAATCATCCTAAAAAAGTATGTTGCCTCATGCTGAAAAATCCTATTTGAATTTCTTTATTATTCTCTTTACTACTCAGCCCTCAGTTAGTATTTACTAAAGCATAACCTAGAAATAGGAATTCTATATTATAACTAGTGCCCAGATGGCAATAGCATTTAATGTTTCAGGCATTTTAGGAGAAGGGGAAATAGTTTGATGAAAAATGGCAGAACATAATCAATACTATTTTGAGATAAAATAAGCTGAGCTGAAACAGATATAAGCACAAATATATTTAAAAATAGGCATTTAGAATTTACATTAAGGAATCTTTTTTGTTGTAGTGGTTGATTTTAATTGCAAACCTGGATTAATAATAAGAACAATAACATAGGACTTAAGCCTACCTCCTTGCTTGCAAGCTGGACCACTCCTAAACATATCTTTAAAATAGTTGTATGTAATAAGCAATACAAAGGAGTCAACTATTGGTAACACAAAACTTAGTGGATTTTGAGGGCATTATGTTCATTGAAAAAAGTCACTCTCAAAATATTGATTACTACGATATGATTCCATTTCTGCAACATTCTCAAAATGACAAAACTACAGAGATGGAGAACAGATTAGTGGTATCAGGGGACGGGCCTGGGAAGGGATGCAGTATAAAGGCTCACTCCTTCGAGGCATCAGTAACTTGACTGTGGTAGCATTCACACAAATCTATTCATAGGAGGAACTGCATAGAGCCACACCAGCACACACACACACCTGCACAAACACACAAATACATGAATGCATATAAAAATGGTGGAACCTGAATAAGGTCTGCTGCCTAGTTAACATCAATACACCAGTGTCAGTTTGTTATTATACTACAGTTAGGAGATGTCACCACTGGGGGAAGCTGAATGAAGAGTACACATTGATGTACTATTTTCGCCATTTCCTGTGATTCTATAATTATTTCAAAATCTGAAGTTTAAGAAATAGCTCTACAATTTCTTTCAAATGTAATGTTTTCCCTCATTTCCTCTACTTGTCTATCTGTCCCACAGGCTTAAAGGTGCCTGTCCTTCAAATTTAACAAGTTCTGAATATTTGCTGTTTTATTTGGGACATCTATTTCAGGAGTAAGAGCTATAACTCCTTAGCCTTTATCATGATTTAAAATTTAAAGTGATACTGTGATTTATAATAATACTTCATAAAAATAAATTTATCATTATAATTTATAGTGATACAATGAGACTTGGAATCTAAAGTACAGCAACATAAAAAAGGGAGGTGGCTATTTTAAGTCAACTATCTAGCAGCTAAAGCTTGTTCTGACCTTGTTTAATTTATGCACACTTTTACTTGACTCTCTCAATCTGTACACATACTTTGTTCTGAGTTCTTACCATATATTACTTTGCACAGATCTTTCTGTATTTCTGTCTAGTCCTCACATTTCTCATTCCAGAGACAATAAGGCATCTGCTGCATGAACATTCCTGATTCTGCCAAGTCTTTCCTCATAGTGAGCTGTTTGCACACCCCCCTTGGTTTGCAGTTCAGGCTTACCTTGGGTAGACCGATAGACTCCATTGCTCTTAACCACTGGACGGTGTTATCTGTATGTCGAAAATGAAGGCCGGACTTCTAATGTGAGGATGTGGTGGGGGAAGAAAAGAAGGGACCACACAAAAAGTGAGTCACTTGTAACAACAATTTTTCAGGAGCAGGATGTTTTTCTCTGAGAATAATTAATACATAAGACAACTGGAAACACGATAAAGGAGACTAGACTCTCTCAGCAAAATGACAACCATTTGGGATGCACCTTTCAATTCACACACTTGAGGTAATTCTGAGCCAGAATCTCAAAGACCACTTAATGTCCAGCACATGGGAAAGGACGTTTTATGAGACAAGTGTGCATATGCATTTATATACATGCATGCACACACCCAGTGTCAGGACTGACAACTGTGGCTGAGAAACCTAGTGACTTCAGGAGAACAGGATTTTAAGGAGACCAAATGCCTTTTCTCCCCTAATTTCTGGTTCTGCCAAACTATTTTTTCTAATCATGAATGCAATATGATTTCTGTAGAGAATAGGAAAATGTAGAAGAACACAAAGATAAAAACAAAAACTCCACAGTTCAGAGCTAATTTTATTATCTATTTCTCCCATAATTTAATCCTAATCCTGGCCTTGTACAAGAAGTAAACCTTCACTGGAAATGTTTACAAGACCTTTCTCTACCCATACAATAAAAATAAGCTTTCTATGTCTTCCATTCTTCTTATAGTCCTTATCAGTCAGCCATATCTTCTGTAAGGGCTATAAATATAGTATCCTTGCCACTATCTTGTGACATTTTATGAGGCTGAGAGCTTTAAAACTATCTTGTATTTTTAATTAGTTAAGTCAATAGCATGCTATCTTTTTTTCATTTTAAGCAAATGTACAAAAAAGTAACTACCGCAAGTTTCATCATATAATTAACATCTGATGGTAGAAAATCACATTCAGAAAGTCTGACTTGTCTAATCTTCTGTGACCTTCTACAGTCTAATAGTTTATTTAGCAGAAAGTATTTTTGTTGCTGTTAGATAAGGCACAGTACTCCCACCCTTGTTGGAATTTCACTTTCCAAGGTTTCAGGTACCCGAGGTCAACAGGGCCTGGAAGCAGATGATCTTTCTTCTGAAATATCATCAGAAAGTCATTAGCAGCTTAAACTGTATCCCAGGGCCTGGATCACTCACCTCACTTCACCTCATCACGTAGGCATTTCATCATCTCCCATCATCACAAGAAGGGTGAGTGCAGTACAGTAAGATATTTTGAGAGGAGACCCCATTGACATAGCTTATTACAATATATTATTATAACTGTTCTACTACTGTTGTTGTTAATCTCTTACTTTCCCTGATTTATAAATGTACTGTGGGTATGTATGCATAGGAAAAAGCAGAGCATATACAGGATTTGGTGCCATCTGTGGTCTCAGGCATCCACCGGGGGTCTTGGAATGTATCCCCCACATTCCCACAAGACCAACTTCAGAGCCCATGACATATTCCTCCAAGATCCTCAAAGATAAGAAAACTTAGTTATCTGAAGATAAAATAGGGAAATCAGGCACAGAGATGCTAGTCTCTAATTTCCATTCTTCCTGCCTCAGAGCAAACATCCCCTTCGAATAGCTCATCTACTGTCCACTGCTATGGGTCATCACTGGTTTTCATTTCCTCCTTCATACACTCATCATAGCCAATTCTCAGTTATATATTTACTTACAGTCTGTCCAACCCTACGTGCCATGAAAGCCTGTCTACCTTGCTTGCCATTCTGCCTTGAGTGCCTGGAATGGTGCCTGGCACACAGTGGGTGTTGGTAAGCATTGTATGGATGAATGAGTTCTACCCTCTGTGTATTTCTATCATAGTATAGCTTTTTCTTTCTTTACAACTTTATTAAAATTTACTATATAATGTTTACAAGCAGAGCAGTGGCTTTATTAAAATTTACTATATAATGTTTACTGGCAGAGCAGTGGCTCTCAAACTTTAGTAGTGCATCAGAAGGGATCACCTGGGGTGATTATTCAGAGAGAACCTTCATGGATCTCTGACCAGTGGATTCTTCCTGACTCGGCAGCTGCGCTGGGCCCAGGAGGCCACACACCCATCAGGTGTTCCTGCAGGAAGTCTGAGCATCGCACTCAGAGGACGAGTGTCAGACTCCAAGCATCTTGAGTAAGTATCAAATAAAGCATAGAAGACAAAAGAAGAAATGGACTCTTGTGGCTTAAAACTACTGTCATTCATTTCTACTCCCAACATATACTTCCCTAACACCTACAATGGGCTACAGGCTACACCATTCACTGAAGATATGGCAGAGATGACACACACGTTCCCACCTTCATGACAAGACAACCATTACAGGACACCATGGTGTGTCAAGAGGGACAGCGTTAGGCGCCATGGCACACGTGGCTGATCACGTAACTCAGACCTGCAGCAGGAGGTGGAAGTGGCTGGGGAAGGAATACTTATCATTAGAAGGTTTAACTTTAATTAAATACCTTTCTAACTTTAATTAATGAGGCTGTACCTAAATTGACAGACAAAGGGGATGGGACAGCTCTGAAAGCTCCCATCTGCTTAACCCAAAACTGAGGTTTTTAGAGCTTAGGGACAGAGCCTTGGCCCTCGGACACACTGCCTAGCAGGCAGGCCGCAGCCTAAGAAGACCCTGCAGCGAGTGCCCACGCTCTCTGAACTCTGTGTTTGCAGGCGACACAGCAAGGCGCTGGGCCGGGTGAGTGAGCCTTCCCTTGTGTTTCCACATCTTTCTTCAGTCCCATGACTCAGTGCTCCTTGCAAAGGACCATGAGATGGGCTTAGTCCTGAAGTACACAAGGACAGGAAGTTAAGTCTCAGATTCACTAGGATTTGTCTCTTTTCATTTTGTAAAAAAAATGATGGCCTTAAAGTAAAATTTTATGGTTACATGGCAAATCACTGAAAATTTCCATTCAAGGACATTGGGCACTTTCAGGGATTTAATAAGTGGCAAAAAAGAAAAGCTTCTTTTCTCCATCAATGAACAGAGGGGAGAGGTAGTTTCCATTTGTCCTGTTTTCTCCCACATCACTGATGGCATCAATCCCCCTCCTTCTGCTCCCCCTTCTGCCTGCCCCTCACCTAGCAAACCTTCTTCTGTGCTCCTGAGTCTTCCAGGGCCCTGACGGGGTAGGGGAGGGCCAACACGACACTTCCCTCAATTATGAGCTTTGCTCACGGATATAATCAGCTGCCGAGCTCCACAGCTGTTTGATTTTGTAACAAGAGATTGGAAATATTTCCCCCATCCCCATCCCACAGAGAAGTTGCTGTTCATTCAAATAGTAGGATCTTTGATGTCAGGAGGAAACAGTACCTCTTTCAGTTGCCATTGAGGGGATCTGCCTCTGAGCTGGGAAGAGACAGCTACATTTAAGGTGTGTGATGTGCCAAGGGAGGAACGGATCAGCCCACCCACTTAGTCCTGAGGCTGCCTCCACCGGGGAGGTGTGTCTGTCTGGCCTGATTCTCACTACCCACAACATCAAAACAAAAGGCCCACAATCCCCTTTCAAGACCGGCTGGAGCCCAGCCCAACTACACTCTTCATCAAATCTACATGGCTATTTGGTACTAATGGGCCTAGGTCTTAGTAGTAACCATTATAAAGCAATGAAAAGAAATAGAAAAATCATGCCCTAAAATGTGGACAAATGTTAACTTATTTTGTGATATGGAGATATAAATATTATTTTCCCATTTTTTTCCTGAAGTTTAGAAATGCTTTTCAAAATTATAGTGAGCTGAAATTGAGGGATGAAACATGACTTAATAAACCCAAATTTTAACAAATGCAAATGCTTTTATTCATAATTCAAGGCAGAAATGTTTGCTTAGTTATCTTTTAGACAAACCATGAAAACAGACTTATAAAAGATTTGTCGATTCATCTTGTCTACTGTTAGGCTACATGATTACTGACATATTTGCTCTGAATTAAATATACAAATTTTAAAAATAAATTTTATCTCAATAGCAACTGAAGGGTATGAATCATGCAATAAATGGGAGATCATTACATTTTCAACTATACTTAATATTGTCCCTACAATTATAAGAGAAATAACTTTTCAGGATATTTGAAAATCTGCAGATAAGAAAATATTGATATAAAGAACTAAATAGAATACATTAAGAAAATAAAGAATCAAAGAAACTTTAGAAACCACAGTCTGAAGTGGGCGAGAGATCACATACTCCAGGAGGGAACATGATACATTTTAAAATTCCCTTTTGAAGACACATCTAATGGAGGTGTCTTTGAGGTTGGTGTTTTTTTTCCTTCACTTTTTAATGGAAAATTTCAAATATATAAAAGAAGACAGAATGGTATTATGAATTCCTATGTACCATTGTCCCACCACAACATGTATGAACTTGTGGCCAGTCTTGAGTCTCTATCCACCCTCCTCCCAATTATTTTGAAGCATATCCTAGATGGCAATATCTGTAATTACCTAGAAATGTATCTCTAAAATATCAGAATTTTTAAAAATAAAGACTGGTGTTCTGGTTTTGTTTCCACTCCCATGTGCCTTCTCAAATTAGCCATGAAGGAATTCTTCCAAACAGTTGTGCACAAAAAGGTTAGTCTTCTTTTGTTTTAAACACCAAATGGAAAAGAACTCCTACCTGACTATTCAACATTACCACTCATTTTATCGCACTGGCCCTAACTTTTTAGGGCCACAAGTTTAAGTCCCAGCTGGGTACTTTTTCTTGCTGAGAACAAGGGGATTAATAAACTGTTGATGGTGGAAAAAGGAAGGGGTAGAGTTTCCCCCACTTTTACATTTACTGGTGCAAATAAAAGTGGCCTCCATGGAGTAATACGGGGGGTTTGGGAAGCCCCACAAATCAGAGGTCCCTCAGCCTCAGTCTAGAAATAGAAATGTTTTGTTCTTAAAATTGCTGCTGCCTCAGGAATGATTATTAACAGGCTTCAAAGACCAAGGACACCCCACACCCCCCACAAAATCCTTGTAGAAACACTAAAAGTAAAAGAAAGGAAAGGAAATGAAATACTGAACTTTCAGGTTTAGCTGGAAGCCAAAACCAATTAGATCTGAGTCACCTTATAACGTGTTTGTTCCACATCATAGATCTTTTTCTCTGATACCATTTTGGGGGCAAAGAACTTGGCTAACTTTGCAAGATAAACTCCATTCCGGAGCCCTTCTTCCAGTTCAGTGGTTGGTGGCAATTCTTCAACTAAGCAGACTTCCATCCACCTAAAAGGAAAAAAAAAAGACCTTAAAAGGACTCCAGTTGGTAATTTTCTTAAATGAAGAGATGCAAAATCTCACTCTGTATGTTGGAGATATTAACAAAGGGAACAGGAGATGAAACATTTTTAGGTGTCACAGATGGGAAAAGAGGGCTTTCTGGGCAGAACAAGGCTCAGAAAATGAGAAGAGCCGGGGGAATCAAAGCCCACAGGCTCCCAACTCACTACCATGCCAGAGCCTGTCAACTTCACCTTTACTTCAGTCTCTGCCAATTCTCTTCTGTGCCAAAGAGGAAAAAGGCCAAACCATTTTGTATGAGTGGAATTAGTCCTGCTGACATTACAGAAAAAATAATTCTAAGTTTATGAGCCTGTAGAGGAAGAGATTCTTATAGGGGTTATGTCTTAAGGAGAGCACAGCCCAAGGTACTGTAAAATCTGGAGGTGCCTCAGTCCAGACATGGCTACCAGGAAAGTTAGGAAGGCATGGAAAAGGGACATCAAGAAGTCGGAATGTCTTCTTTAAATAATACTCATTCTTTTTTCCAGTACCAGGAACTGATTACAACATGCTTACCTTGACGAGAAGATACAGTATTTACTGAGTTCTGAAGAAATAGTTTAGAGAAAGATCAGATTAAATCTTAGGACATTGTGCCAGTATTGTAGAAAGGAGACGGCCAAGGTCATTACTGGCTCAAGGACACACAGTGGGAGAGGAGCCGGGCTAGTTCATTTTTCACATTGCTGTGCAGAGAATATGCCAGAGTTATGAGGATAATGCTATTCCTATCCTTTCTTGAGTAACTATTATGTACTGTAAGATCAAAGAGGCAGATGTGCAGGCTTTCAGTGTGAAAGCCCCCACCTCCCTGCCACTGATCCACAGACAAATCATAAACAATTAGTGTGAGCCCCATACCTATACAGCCAGTACCCCCAGAGGATCATTAACACAACAGCAACTGATACTATCAACATTTGGCAGACACAATTCTGTGTGTAATATTAACAACTGATCCTGATCCAAGCAGTGAATACTGTAAAATATCTCAATGGTTTGTAGCTCTGGACAACATACTTTAAAAGCTCAAAGAGCCCCTAATAGCAAGGAGTATTTACTGACCACTATTAGGCCTTGTAAAACATGGACTACATGAGAAAAATAGAAACATAAGCCCTGCCTTCAAAGAGCATTAAATATAACTGAAAAGGCAACACAATTCCAAGGAAAAACCACAGAACCCACAGAACCACATATGAGAGGCTGGTGCAAAAGCAGAGTAAGTTTGGGAATAAAGGCAGGTCATTGCTTTATCACTGGAGTAATCAGGGGAAACACTGAAAAAGTGGTGGGACCTCATTTCGCCTACAAAAATCGAGTATTTGTAAAGGCAGGGGGAGCACTAGATGCCAGGGAGCAGGACAGACTGAAAGCATAAAGGAAACGTGGCTGACTCACAAAGAAAACCCAGACAAGACTTCGGGCTTTGGGGGTTTGCAGGGAGAAATGAAATGCAGCTGAGCACGTACAATGAACCCGGGCTCTGGAGGACCTCGCACACAGGAGAAGTGTTGGTATTTGTTGCCACAGGAAGCAGGGAGCCCTGGCAGCTTCACAGCAGAGGAGTGACATGCTGACAGTGGGAATTAAGAGAAAATTAATCTTGTATGATGGATGCCCCAGAGACAAAGAGCTCTGTCAGCCTTTCCCATGGTGAGGAACTGGGGACTAGATTAGACAGAAAAAAATGGGAAGGGAGGAAACCGGGAGACATTGCAAGAAAACAATAACAGGACTTGGTGACAGCTTAGGAAAGGGGGTTGAAGGAAAGGGAGATACCACCAGGCAGGTGGTGGGGCTGGGGGCTGGTGTGAAGGAGCCCCCCGCACTGGGACTCAGCCCCGTGTCCACCATGTGATTCCCAAGTATGTCCCCTACTCATTGTGAGCCTGTTTTCTCTTCTGTGAAAGAGACGAGGGAGTGGAAGGAGGTGATGGTGATGACAAGTTCCTTCCAAGCTCTAACAGCCTAGGGGGAGGACTGTGAAACTGGGCAAACAAGCAGCCAGTAAGACCTTGGCTTTCACATATCATGTACAAGGTGAGTAGGGAATATCTGGTTTACATGGGTCTTGCTTCAAAAAAAATTGAAGTAAGAGTACCACAGACTTGATAAATTTAAAAAAATTTAAAAATTAGTAATAATGTTGCCTTCTTTACAAAAATCTGGCCAGTTTAAAAGCCATTGCACTAGACTAAGTTTCTAATCTAAATAACTCACCAATTTCTTAAAATTGCCAGTATTATGCCATTTCACAGAAAAACACAATGTTTCCAAATAATTATCTTGAAAGTTTTAAGAAATTGTTTTTCACTTAAAAATATAAAATTCCTTTAACACTCCCTAATTGTAGTATGCATATGAGAGGTCAGGGAGAACTAAATTGACCATTGGTAGTAGGAGGAGAGGGGAGATGAACTGAAGATTGGGAGCAAAGGCAGGAAGCTAAAAAAACAATTCTGAAGTATGAAATTTTAGAGTTGGGGTTGTTTATAAATAAAAAGATAATCATACTTATTTTTGTGTATATTAGAATATAGGTGCAGTTGACTTAAAACATTAATAATACCAAAATCTTGGGTTAGCAACAGCATATTTAAAATATAGCTATTGCTAATGCTTAGGATGTTATGAACTACTTAAAGACAAAGGCCATCTCGTCTTCCTCTTCATAATCTTTTTGTGCCTGGCAATGTGCTTACATATAGTGGGCATCCAATACATTGTTATTACAGTTGACCCTTGAATGACACAGAGGTTAGGGGTGCCAGTGTCACATGTAGTCAAAAATCCACATATAACTTTTGACTCCCCAAAACTCTGATAGCCTGTTGTCCAGAAGCCTTACTGATAACATAAACAGTTGATGAACCCATATTTTGTATGTTATATGTATTATATACTGTATTCTTACAAAAAAAATAATTACAGAAAACTTTTTTCAAACTCTTAAATGTCCAAAAATCTTTATATTATTGAAAAAAAATTCATGTATAATTTGACTTATGCAGTTCAAACCCATGTTGTTCAAGGTTCAACTCTAAAGGAAAGATTCTGAATGCTTAAGAAAAAATTTTCCAAGCATCACAGTCACATCATAAAATGTAGAACATTGCCAAAGACTTGCAAAATGTAGCATTTTTGCAACGTTAGGTATCGATGGAGATAGGTCCTTTTCACTGCCTTGAAAGTTGTAAGATGATGCTATTATCATTAATAACTCCCGTATATTAAACACTGTTTTGTGCTAGAACCTGGATTGAATATTTTGTGGGGCTTAACATGTAATCTTCCAGACCACCCCATAAGAAAGAGGTGCTATTACGATCACAACAATTTTAGATGATTACCTGAGGCTCAGAGAAGCCCAAGGCCACACAGCTAGGAATTTGAAAGAAGCCAGTGGGTCTCTGCTCCTCTAATTTTAACTTTTAATTTCTCACGATTCATGCAACAGAAGAATGAATCCTTCAGTCCAGTCCCCCAACCTAGTGTAAAATAAAAATGGTAACAAGACACTCCAGGATACACATAGAGCAGTGGTAAGAGTTCCATGGTTCGGAGATGCAACTGGGCGGTCAGGGGATGATACCGGCACTATTTGAGTTAAGCCAATTTCCTGGGGTTTTATTTTTTCATTTAGAACTCCCTCTTTGTGACCTACTTGAAACAAATGGTAAGTAGCCTGGGATGCCTCCTGTGGGTGCTGTTGCAAGCCAAGTTAGGGGTCATCCAAATGGGGTCACCTCCTAGAGAACTCCACAAGCCCAGCTAGGATCTCAGAAAGTCTTCTACTTGGAAACTCCCATCAATTATTGGTCAGTATATGATCAGTACAAATTGGCTGACAGCAAGACCACTTCTTCTGGGATGAGGGTAAATGCCATTGACAGAACAAGCATACAGGCCAGCTACTTAATCTTGTTCTAAAGGAATTAGAACAGTTCACAATGATGCAAGAACCATGTTGTACAAAACTCAGTCATGTTGGCTGAATATCATTTTGATCTCCTTTTCAAAAGTATGTGGAAAGAGAAGCTGGAGCACAGATACCAAATGGTTTTTGTCCCAGAGGCTAGGTGACAGTTCCCAGCCCCATGGTATCTGTTTGGGGCCAAGTGGCTGGCCTGTGACCACAGAAAGTGAGAAGAAGTGATGTGCACTGTCTCTAGGCCTACTTCAGAAACACCTCCTGTCTGCTAGTGGGATACTAAAGCCTACGGCAACCTTGAAAGAGAAGGGGGAAGAACTCCCATCAGCCTGGGTCCCTGAATAATTGGGGTAAAGATCCCCTGGTGCCCCTTCATCCTTGTCTTGCTCTGTTGAACCTTACATAAGAATTAAACTTCAATCGCCAACCTCAACTCAGTGGCTTATCTGTTACATAAACTCGTGTAACCCAGCCAAGCCAATGAAAACCCCAAGTGTGATTTTTATGGTGTGTTGGAGTCAAACTTCCTATAACATTCACAATGTAGACACAACTGGCCTGATGTTCAGGAAGTCTAGCTTTCAGTCACTAGCTGGATGTACTGGAACAGGTCACATGAAACTGAGCTGAGTTTTACTCCATGAGTCTAAAAATTATTACGGAATTCAGCATGACACTGTAATTATGGAATATGATTTTGTTGTGCTTAAAAATAATTTTATTGAAAAATAATCTACACCCCATGCATTCATTTAAAATGTACAATGCCATGATTTTTAACATATCCACAGAGTTGTGAGATCACCATCATCAATTTTAGAACACTTCATCACTCCAAAAAGAAACCTTATACTCATTAACAGCCACTTCCTCACTACCCCCAAACTCCCAGCCCACTAATCTACTTTCTGTCTACTGATCTGCCTATTCTGGACATTTCATGTAAATGGAATCGTACAATATGTATGGTAGTCTTTGAAATTGCTTCTTTCACTTAGCATACTGTTTT